TTGTCACATTTGTACCGTCGATACCTACTCTGCGAGCGTCATGCGATAACACGAAACTACCGATGGAACGAGAACGCGGGTTGGCAATGATGAAGTATCAAGGTGCGGCAAATAATCCAACGAGGAGAAATTACTCCAAAGGGCGGCTTCGATGCTTTCTCACGGACTACTACAACTACTACTACTACTATATCATAAACACACGAGTTGGCTACATCTCATTGCATAGCTTGGGCGGCATACGGTTTACACGAGTAGGGAAGGGGAGCTGATGGGGCGGTTCTTTTATACTTGCACGCTTCACCCGCCGGACTCAGGCTTTGGTCGCGTGGTGCAGCAAGTATGGGTTTATTTTACCCTAGCACAAGAGATGGTGGCTGTTGTCTGTTCTTGTTCCCGTGCTACTACAATTCTCTTTCGAGCTGAGATTATGTCGTCACGATTATTAGGTCTTGTTTTTTTTTTGTGTGTGTGTTTTCACGTATAGCTTGTCCATGGTGGAGGTTATACTACCCCCTTTTACACTCTCCTTTTCTTTTCTTATTTACGTTGTACTGATATTCTGAATCCACGGGCGAGCAAAGGAGAGAACGGAAGAGGGCAAAAATGGAGGACTCAGCTTGGTAAGCGGTACCGAGGCTGGGGCTGGCTCGTTTGGTAAATTGTTTTGTGCTCTGTTCTAGACAGTTCCGGTTAAGTAGGAGGAACCTAGGCGGGCTTGGGACATGTGATCCACGTGTTGACGTCTAGATATTTCTTGCTAGGATGTAATTGACACGAGTGAGCACTTAAAGAAGTAAATGCTTCTACGCTATACTATCTTCAGACTTCATATTTTGTTTTCCCCCTTTCCGTATTGAGACGTAGCAAGCAAGACGATGTTCTAGCCGAATCCAATGAGATTTTTATTCGACCGGCGTAGAACTCAGTATCCAATATGATTTAAGTGCTTACTTCCTACGGTGTCAACCACGTTCAGGGTTAGTATGGGGCAGGGTAAGGCAGGGTAATATGCTCTTTGACAGGGTGGTAGATGCAGCTAGGTAAATCTGCAGACTGTTTTGTCCTCCAACAAGCAACGATGGTAAGGGTAATTGGATGCCATAAACGGACAGTTTAGCTATAATAGGCATCTATATCCTCAGGTTCCACTCACACGGGTAAAGGCCCGTCCCGCTTTTTGGTTCCCGTTGTTGGACGTAAAAGTACGGATCCGTAACATGTAGTCTATGTAGTCTACTATGTAGTCTACTTATATACCTACCTGGGTAAGTATGTAATGTATCATTATCAGATAAAGTTTTAAGAGATCTCCTTTTTTATAATATACAAGATTCATCCGAGCCAGTACCAATAAATGCACAATACACGCCTAGATTACGTTATAATAGTGCATGTGCATATGTACGGTACGCACACAAACCTGAAGCTGTCTCTTCTGGATCTCCAAATCTATAGATATCTGAAAAGTGACACGAAAAAAAGGACACCGCTGACCCGCTGACCCGACCAAAAAAAATCCAAAGCCCCTGGACCTGAATTGTACCATCTGATAGTGTACAATGTTACCTGGGAACCGACACCGAACCAATCCGGGGTTATCGTTCAACGTGTCCACCAGACCCAAGTAAAAAAAACGTGTATGCCAAGACTATAAAACATGGTCAAGGTATTCCTAAATGACGAGCGGTGAGAGGGAAGGAATAAAGAAAAAAAAAAAAGAATTACGTACATATGTACATTCAAGAGGTAATCCAAACTTACGCTATTAACTACCAGGTATATGTATTACATAGCCAGCATTAATGTGGCTATGAGGAAATCGAACCAAGCTCGAAAAGGATTACTCACACATAACGCAAGATAACGCAGGACCGGCAGTAGATGATGCATAACATAGTGAAAAGTAAGAATCGGTGGTATGAATCTCCTTAGTTATGCCAATATCCTACAGGTCATATCTCATAAGAGCAGGGGGGGAAGAAACGACATGGTTGGTGACAGCACCCATCGGAACGGTGTTGAGAAAAAACGATCGTCGCCTCTTTTTTTTTTTTCGTTCCTCTTCTCCCGCAAAACACCGCAACGCAACCTACTCTTTCGATCTCATACGTCGACACCGCGCCTGGCCTGGATCAGGGCGCCATATGGTAGGTCGCTTTGACGCTGACCCGCATATAGATCTATGCTATGTTAGTAGTATTTCGCCGGATCGTGTACATATTGACCGTCGATTATCTGCGGGCTTGCGTCAGACTGACCAGATCTAGCCGCGAATTCGGTACCTGGATAGAAAATCTCTTTGCCTCCTTGTGCTTTTCGTCTTCATCCCAACGTCATAATCAGCAGAGTTTGGCGGCGAGGGAAGTTTTTAGGCGGAATACATATATGTAAAGGGGGAGAACAAACGATACTATTTTCTCCTTGTTACCCTATGTATACTGATTCGTCTTCGTCACAAGGCTGTCGTTAGACCCGGATATCGTGACGTAGTAACGCTACATTCGTAAATACATTCGCTCTGCGATGGAGGGTCGTTGGCCTGCTAGTCCCGAAGACCAGGTTATGTGTCACAAAGAGCAAAGAAGAATCCGGAGTTTCCTTTGGGCTGGGTCTATTTGTTGACGGTTCCTATCGGCTCTGGACTTGCCCTTTACTGAATAGGGGCTTTTCTAGAACATGTAAGAAGTCAGTTCAGGGTTTCAAGTAGATTTGGACACCAACGTTAGGTACATATCCGCCAGATTCGGGTGGTCCCAAAGGAAACCCCCTGTTTTCCTTTCACAGTTCGAGGTGACAGACAAGCGCTAGTGCTGTCCATGCTCTCCTTCGCTCGCACTAATATTCGCCATCCTAGTCCCGTACTTAATCTAGATCATCATATGCATGGGATAGGTATGGATTACTTACTTACTCCATCCATCCATATTTCATTCGTACCTTATCCCCGATCTCCCTTCTTACATTTCTGACCCCCACGCTACCTGTAAGCACCAACCCATTTAGAAGATCAACGCTGTTAGACACACAGGAAACTGCACGTCTTTCAACAACCGGTAGTCTACTTAGCTCGTCTACCTAGTTGTAGGATCCGCCAAGGCCTGTCAAGAAGAAACTTAGCCCCAGCATATGCAACATACCCAGTCCCGTGGCTAACTGAGAGTCCGTGGCCTCGTTTGAGGGTTGCATACAGCTGCATAGGCCGATCTTAGGGCATGTAATGTACCATTTCCCCGGGGATTATTTGCAGAAGAATGTAGATTGGGCCCCTTGTCAGTCGCCGTCCTTCAATGCCACATCTCGTTATTCTTAATAATCGAAACTATCGCCTTTCTCGCAAAGTCATGCCCTACGAGAAAAAGAAATACCATCAAGCTCGGCAGATCGTGTATAAGATTTTACCTTCACAATCACCATTAAGAAGTATATAGATATTTACACATACATACGGACTCATCATGCTTGCAATGTTAAAACGTAGCCTATTCTCTCATGAACTTTCGAGTAGTTGTATTGGAACAATACTACGACGGCTGAGTATTCCCTTTGTGTCATTTATCTTACTTGTTTCTGAACGCCCTGTAGGGTTGTAAATTATCTACTAACCTCCGAAATCCCTTACCACAAGACTTCATAATGCAATTACCTGTGGTATTATAATCAATCAATCTATATTTCGAAGCCTTAAGTGCTAGTGTCTTAAAACAGCGGTATTAATAGCCTTGTTTGGCAAAGTAGCATCACAAACAATATACCTGTGGCACATATAAGCCCCTCCCTACAGGTCTACCTAAATGAGTTCCAAACCATCGGGTCTCGCCATGATAATCATCATCATAGTGCCTAAATAGAATATAGTGGCCTAAAGTTCTCCCGGGATTAGTTGATTATTCTTGTCATACGAGTTTCTTAGGATATTATAGTAATTACGTAGTGATACAATGTCATGGCTACGATAAAGGCAATCAATACCCCTATATCTTAATCCTCCCTTACAATGCCTAGGTAAATGAAGAAATAGTAATAATATTGTTTCAAAGAGGTATACCTCCTTAGAGTGAACAATTTTAAAGTACTGAAGTAGTAAGTTTTGTATAATATTCTATTGTATGCAGCCGAACGACCCGTACGCTAATATTATTTTAGGGATCAAATTATGTACAGAATGCTTTGAGGTTGGGCTCATCTAAGCTTATCTACATAGACTCACGTTCCCTCGGTCACTTTTATTCAGCCTAGAGTTATGGCGGAGGTGATCTTCTTGCGCACAGGGAAATGCACTCTTAATGTCGTTCTAATTAAGAGCACGGTTAAAACTAGGTCGACGATAAGGCCATCAACCCCGGACGCCGCCCTCGGGTTCACCCGTGCCTCACAAGCCCCCTCAAGTCAGGGACTTGTCGGCGAACTCCTCCTCGCTTTGCAAGGAAATCGACCCAACGGGACATCTCAACAGACGAGCCAGATACCAGAGTAGGAAAGAGGGATATATTTACTCCACTAGTAATATGGCAGACTCCGTCTCATCATATGATGGGTTCATTTATATCTATCTATGTATCTAAGGCCTCTCCTGTTGGGATCTAGCTCTCGTACGAGTTAGGCTTGGCAAGGGGTCATGCTTTAGAGACTTGAGGCCCATGCGTATATTATAGATGGGAAAAAGCACTGAGATAATGTATCTCCGGCCGAGTTAAGCGCGGTGAAAGACACGTTGACGAATGCCTCTCTACCATAAGATCTAACCACGATAGTAATCTCTGCTTAAACCTCCGTAAAACCCCTTGTGCGACTCGGAGCTAAACTTGGTCTTTGATGGCACATGATATCGTACGACGCACTCACCACGTACATATCCAGGGTGGGATAGGAACGGGGCTAACGCATCGACCAACGTATCAGTTTCGTTATGAGGTATACTACATACCTCATACAGACTTTGAATACATTCGACATACAAAGTTTTAATCTACATTTTTACAGACTTATACTCAACCTCCTTAGACCCTATCCCCTAGAGGGATAAGCGTCAAAAGACATCTCTTCCCACGAGGTTGTGAGGAGATTAACTGATCGGACATCTCCATATCCTCGGCAGTCATAGACGGGTCAGGTACGGTAGTATACCGCGAGTAAACATCTCTGAGCAGGGTTTTCATCTCCGCGAGCGCTAAGCTATTTATTGCTGTTAGTAACTTTGAACAAAATTTCCTTTTAAAAATCAGGGTCGGTTGTGGCTTACTGCTTTCCGATGCAGCCTCTACCACCACTGGCAAAAGCGAAGAATAGTCGTTTTCTCTCTAACCCTCCTGCCTCCTGTAACCAGCGATCCGGATTGAATGTGTCTGGCTGCGGAAATACAGTTTCGTCGATGCGGTGAGTAGAGTACGCCTGACAACTCACTATTGTTCCCCCGGGGATAAGATAGCCATCGATGGTACGGCCGCCAGAAGGGACGTATCGCGGGAGGGACATAGGAATTGCCGGGAAGCAACGAAGTCCCTCCATGACGACAGCATCGAGGTAGGGTAGTTTATCGAATGCCACTTCGGGATTGGCACAGAACTCTTCCTGGAGACGCCGCTGGACATAGAATGATCCAGATTGTGAAATTTCCCACATCAGGAAACATAAAGCATCGCCAGTGGTATCTATTCCCGCAGCCATGTGATCGAGACACTCGGCTGCCATATCAATGTGTTCCATCTCATAATTCTTGTCCTGCATACGACTCAGCAGAGTAAACTGTGCAGGACTAGTCTTCGCGCTCGCGGACATGACCAAATCATCTGCTAGAGGTGTCTGGCGCGGCTTGGCAAATAAAGATAGAACGTTGCCGATTATCTTGTGTAGGCCAGGGTTATAGTACTCGACTAGACGATCTGGTTTCTACATATTAGCATAGCCAGAGGTGTTCATGGACTTAGGATGAGACTGACTCTGAAGGCTATCATCAAAAGTCACCTGTTTCATAATTTCCTCATCTTTTGGGTTCTGGAGCGAATCCGATCCGTAGGGATGAAAAAGATGATGCGTCGCGCAATCAAACGCATAGTCATGTAGACCTAGTTTTAACTCATTAGTGAGCCCCCTGAGAGTTAACGAAGATCGACATACATATCTAAATTCTAATTAGCATGTCATTTATTAGCATCTACCCAGATTCACTTACAAATATATCGATACTTCCACCAGCAAACCTTGAGCACCTCTCAACGAATCGGGTTGATCGTTCTCTGATCCCGTGGAGCGACTCCGATTTTAGGATATTGGTATTGGCGTATCGGTCTGCAAGGACTCTTTTCCTCCTAGCGTGCTGAACATCTATTAGGATTTGATTTTCATACATAGATCGGGTGGTTGATGAGGGGACTAACATCCTCCCTTTTCAGGGTACTAAACATAGTCCTGGGCGATCTTTTGTAAGCTTATATATCTATTAAGTAACCTATCTAACCTAGCAGTCCTCAACTAGTTTTTCACTTGACGCTGTGTCTTACCTTCGACCATATATCGTGAAGAGATTATAGAACTCTGTCTTATCATAGCCGCTTCCGCCCGAACCGTAAATCTCCTTCACGCCTTCGAGGGACGCAAATGATACTTCATTCGGGGCTATCCGGACAACGGGACCATATTTCTGATGAAGGCTATGGACATATCTCGTGCGATGGGCATGCAGTTCATGGTACTTGAGAATCCATGAGCTGAATAATGAAATCCTTGGACCGGGAATGGTTCGTAGGGGAGAAGCGATACATTTCCAGACATATAAGACGCTCAATATAAAGGATGCGACTGCTAGGAGCAAGGGGTTAAGGAGTAGCATTTTTGAACGGTACCCAGGACTATCCCCTTAACAATACGAGTGAAGATAGTACATATGAAATATAAGTTCCAAATGGATATAGGCTGGGTACAAGCAAATAGAAAATATAGCCCGCCATACGTTCTTCAATAGATTAAAAAAGAGGTTTAATAGTTCGAGCTGATTATCCTTTATCAAGTAGATACATAATAAGGTTACCTCATGGACTTAGCTCGGGCTACTTATCTCTGGTGGGGTTGACATGATGATTAAGAGAGGGGAGAGAGGAGAGGGGCATTGGTGAGGAGAGGAGAAGCCTAGTTGCGAGGAGCGGAGCAATAAAGTAAGATAATGCCCAAGTCAAAGCTCCCCATTGCCCTTTGTATCCGTACCGCCGGTACTCTGCCCACCTCCGCTTCCGCTTCCGAATATACTACCAAGCCAAGACAAGCCGGGAATCGCCATCTTCGCTGACGGAGGGTAGGGTTTTCCGTCGACCGTGACTTGCGGCTGACAAGTGCACCATTGCTTCTCCGGGATCCCCGCAAGAGCCGACGGGATATGCGAACCGCATCCCCGCCAGGATTTTCCTGCTATGATAACGTTAATAAGTCGAACTTAACAACACTAACTTCGCAGGTAAAACTGGGATTCGAGTATATTGAGAAATAACTAACAGCAGGTTGGACACGTTGCGCCGAAACACATTTTAATAGACTAGCTGTGAGTAGTAAAATACTGACTATGTTGAATTTCTATGCTTGCTTTGGAATTGAAAATGATCGGATTTGGGAAATGATTAGAAGAGGGGAAGGTCAGGTATTTAGACTTCGTAGTGGCATCTTTAGTACGTCCTACCGGTGTTCACTTGAGGTATTCGGCGATGACAATCTAAGGGATGTATCCGAATTCTGTGAAATCGCCGACCTCGACTGACGCCCGCAATCCGCTAAAAAGGGTCAAATTTGATTCGGATTCATAAAGTCATCCGACAGCTTAGTTTTCCTTCTCATTTCTCAATGTCGAGAAGTACCTAAATTATGATGACAATGAGCTACCCGAACTCTTGTTACCATAAATCTCAATTATTTAATATTTTGCAGAAATTTAACAACCGTGTTGACGAGCCATTCTTCTGACTCTGGCTCCTCTACCCTATGGCCGGCGCCCGGGATCGTACCCGAGAGTTCACTTGCGATGCCTGGCCGGCAGAGTGTCCTCCAGTGCTGAACAAGCGCATCTTTATCGATGGAACTTGGCACATATTCATCGTTCCCCGAGTGAAGTATAAGGATCGGCTTATCTACTCGCTTCCAGTAAGGCCCAACTATATCATCTGAGAGCCCGGGATCGAAGTAGTTATCTTCGCCGCTATTAAGTAGTCAGGTTATAGGAGTCATAAAGAGATAGAGAGTTGAACGTTGAGTAATAAATTACGTACTCAGCTGCCCCAAGCGCGTACCACCGCGATGCAGATATCGGCGTATCATGGAAGGAAGAAGAGAGATTTTCAGGCAGCATACGCTCATGGCCGCTGCCAGAAGTGATGAGCTGTTTAGCAATCTTGAGACTTTCCTCTAGTTTAGATTCACCCATCTCCGAGGCTATCGCGCCGCGATCCGATACTGGTGCCTGAAGAATGTACCCTTCAACTGGCGCAGCATTATGGGATGGCGATGTATACTCCATTAAATCTTGACTTCCAGTAGAATGGCCTAATAAGATTATGTGTTTCTTCCCTATGCTCCGTAGATACTTAACGAGAGCCGATATATCAGCTACATCGTTAGCAAGACGACCAAATCCAAAGCCTGAGAAAGAGCTTGACAGCCTGAATTCAAAAACAGAGTAGCCTAGGTTAGGTTCTGATTCTAGACGTTTAGCTATTGCTCGGGGATATGGCACTGTGTGAGGTCCATCACCAAGCCCACCGACGAACACTAGAGCATTTCTTGCGTTTGTGAGGCCGACTTCATAAGCACAAGCGTGAGCTGTTGGAGATTCGAAAGGATGCACTGTCGTAGTGAAGGTTCCTAACGGCGCCATATTCTTTTTCAATTGATCAGATTTAAAGAGCTTGCAATTTCAGAATTTTAAAACTTGAGGTTGGGATGAACATTTATTAATTCATTGATGCGTGGAATTCTCCAGTGTTGAAGTTTAGGTACCTAAGATACCTGCGGGGATATGTATAAATGCATAATGCATAATATAAAACCGGATAGGAGGATAACTCTAGGAGGTACGAATAGGTACTTTCTACGCCAATCAATCAATCCTCTACCATTATTTCAAGCAAGGAAATCTCAATCAATTTCTATAGTACAACATTAAACTCATCGCATCATTTTATAGCGATCACTAAACTTATGACTAAAATGATGAATATGTCTTAAGATGGCTAATAACTCTTCCGCCACTAGGAATGAATTTTTCAAAGAGGTTTGATGATCCCTTATCGAATGCGCCGTTAGTAATAAGAGAAGAGTGCGTTCGTTACTAATCTTAAGACAGCTTAAACCACGATGCGTCTCCATCAACAATTTAACCGTCCGCGCATCCGATAAGAGAGCGAGTGCTAAGGATCTACTAGATGTAGTTGAAGATCTCTCTACCGTCCTAGACCGGCAGATTTCTGTCGATGAGACTGTTTTGGATGAGAAGCTTGCTGATTATATCTTTTTCCCACTCTCCAACATTTTACGAAATCAACAACAATATCCTATCCGATTGACAGAGCTAACTATTAAATGCCTGCGAATATTAATTCATTATGGATGGAAATCTAAGGTTCCCAATGAACTTTCTCAGCAGCTCTTCATATTTCTTACCTTCATCATCGGTGGTGTTCCCGGCCAGGAGAAGAAAAATGAGATACCAGAGGAGACAGAATTAGAAGCACTGAGGGCGTTGACCGAGTTAATCAAAGCTACTGGTTCCTCATTAGCTGGGGCGGCCGCACTGGTCGATACAGATGCGATACCTACCTTGGGCCATGCTATCACCATCATACTAGACAGTATTACGGATGGCAAAACGTCCGATATTAGACTTGAGGGGCTGGGAGCACTGGATGCGCTTCTAGTCGCGATCAGGGATCAAACTGCCTTAGCTACTTTTCTACCTGGAATAGTATCATCTCTCAGCAGATTACTTACACCTCCCGTGGCATATAAACACCAAAGAAGAGTCTTAATTGGCGGTATCAATGCCATGAAGGATGTACTTACTAGGGTTCTAGGAGATATAAAAATCATGGGGATAATGAAGAAGCAAGCGAGAAACGGAAGTGAAAACACTAGCGAGGGCAAGGTTTTATCGCCATCGTGGTTGAAGGCAACTACTTCTAAGGTGAAGCTTGCTCTTGCAAGCGTGCTAAAGTTACGGAATGCCGATTCCGATGACATACGGGTTGCCCTAGAGAGCCTGTGCATCAGCCTTCTAGACGAATGTCATGAATCTCTTGTGGAATGTGTATCTATACTTGTTGAGAGTGCTATGATATTAGCAAATGAAGAAAAAGAGAAATCGGTATTCGAGACAAGTCTAGCTGATCTAGCTAGGATCTACCCGGAACTCGGAGACACGATCAAGACTACAGTATACAACTGGGTTACAAGTCTTCCTCGGATAGTACAATCCAGCGATGACAAGGTAAAACAACAAGCGATCAGAAATCTCATCAAAGGCCAGTATTTTATCAAAACACTCCAGATTGATTCATCCATTCTAGACGACTCGTTAGCTGCCTCGTTGAGGGATAGTACCACTGCACTTGTCCTTGCATCGAAATCAAGCGGGATGTCGGAGCTTCCTTCGAATGCTATTGAGTTGGACATGGATGTGGTTAGACGGGATGGACCTAATACCTTTCCACCTATCCTGATATCACAAGAAACCGAGAAGTCTACGCGAATAGCGCTCCTTGACTTGCTATCGAAAGTCGGGTCTATCTCTCAGCAAGGTAAATTAGCTGACGATTTATTGACCTACGTCCGAGATTCTACGGGGCCCAGTCAGGTTGTGTCGTATTGGTTAGCCTTTGAGTTGGTCAAGTCGAATTTATCTCAGTCCTCAGATTTAGATGACTTCCTTGATTTGAGTTCAGCAACTGGTACAACAGACGAAAGCGAACCAATTTTCCAAGAGCTCTACTCTTTCTCCGTTGCAGTCATAGATTCCCAAGCCGAGGCAGAAGAGGTTGACTGGCGACTACAAGCTCTCGCCTTAGAAGTTACGACTTTTGCCGCTTCGAGGATGAAAGAAAGCTTCCGTCCAGAGCTTATTGATGTATTGTACCCTATCACGACATTTCTAGGTTCCGGGGTACCTAAATTACGGGACCATGCGATCATCAGTCTTAACAGCATTGCAACGATGTGCGGATACTCTAATGTCACCGACCTAATCATCGAGAATGTTGACTACATGGTTAACTCGGTATCCTTACGTTTGAACACATTTGATATATCCCCTACGTCAACTCAGGTCTTACGAATGATGATAAGGCTTACCGGTCCAAAATTGATACCGTATCTCGACGACGTGATCGCATCGATCTTCGCGGCTCTCGACAACTACCACGGATACCCTTTATTTGTAGAGAGCTTGTTCAGCGTCCTTACAGAAGTGGTACAGCAAGGGTCACACTCGGACCATTTACTTTTAGATGCAGTGAAATCATCAGCGAAAGACCACAAGAAAAACTTACAAGCCATGGTCACGACCGAAGACATCTACAACATTCTCTCTAGCCGGATAGAAAGGCAAGAAAAGCGGCGGCTCGAAGAAATTCACCGCGAAAATATCGAGTCTCATCCAGAACGACCCTGGAAAGAGATAAATACAAGCGTACCCGAGAATGATGAAGGTGATGAAGAGCCTGGTACCGAAGTCGAGAAGCCGCCACCCCCTAAAACACCCACCTTCAAGATTCTCACTCGTATCACCGACCTAACGCAACATTACCTAACATCTCCGTCGCCAACGTTGCGAAAATCGCTCCTGGAACTTCTGGCTACCGTTTGCCCGGCGCTCTCACCTGATGAGGACGCATTTTTACCTCTCGTTAATTCGGTCTGGCCTGTTCTAGTTGAGAGGTTATACGATTCTGAGTCATTCGTTACAATTTCGGCCTGCAAAACTCTGGCTACGCTTTGCCGGAGTGCCGGTGACTTCCTTAACACGAGGATCAAGACGGAATGGTGGGATACGCTCGGTGGGTGGTGTAGGAAAGTTAAGGTAGACGCGACCCAATCGAGCGGTAAATCGAAAGTGAAAACTAGAGCGAATCGTGGTGATCAGCAAGATCGTAATATCCTGGTACCAATCCGTTCCCGCAACGGTGTCGAGGGCAAAGAGTCAAGCACAGCAGTCGGATCTGTGTCAAGCACGGGCCTAGGCAGATTTACTCAAGCCGCACAGGCCTGGGAGGCAGTGCAGGAGCTTCTCGTCGCCATCGTGTCATTTGTTCAGATTGATGACGACGTATTCGATCAGATCCTCCTATTGCTAGCGGACACGCTATCTACGAATCTTAAGGCTAAGGCTGCGCTGGAGGCCGTAGACCCCGACGCAGTGTGGCTCATGATGTATGAGCGAGGGATGGTTGAGCCAATGGAAAAACCCATCTTGCCTGGGGTAGATTTTGTTGATCTATGGGGTACGTAGAAGCAATGGAAATAGGCGAAGGAACTATTGCTAAGCTGACTGTGGCGCCGGTGTACACATGCATAGGCACATACGTAGGTGTCGAGATTTAGGAAATTGACTCGATTTTAAATACCCAATTGCATCTTCTATCTTACAAACTATTACAAGCCTAATGTAGGTACTATTCGACATCACAGTAGGACACGTCACCTGACACGGGAAAAAATCACATAAAACTGTCTATCTTATATCCAACCCTATTCGATGAATTACGATTGGGCTAGCCATAAAACAGACGCCACCGAACAGCAATCCAATGCTGGTTCTATCCTGCCAAGTGTAAATTTCTTTTTGAATCACCGCCTTGTCTACATCTGTATTCTCAAAACTCTAGATATCTACCTCTTGCTGCCGCGTGAAGTGTACTTTAGTCATCTCCGTCTCTTCTCATAGAAGTAATTTAACACTCAAGTACCTGATAGGCCTCCCCCATGTACATGTACCTATCAGGTCATGGGTTCAAAGCTATAGAAGTATTCGGGATCAAGTCATGAGTTTCAATCACGCTATGTCTTTTGAATTCAATGTTGATACATTAAATACTTGGGTATCACACAAAGCGCTGATAGCATATACGTGTGTAAGGTAGGTAGGTACCTAGGTACATAATCCCTGTTATAAAGAAAAGGAGAAGAAGTGCAAATTAACAGGTAACTAACAAATCTTCAAAAATATTTAAACGTTTAAAATCGCTTCAAGCTAAATGGAGACTTAGATCTCTATTAGATATTGACACTCCTGGATTTATTTGGCGATTCAAGTCTTTGCATAGGTAGGTAGGTACTTAGATAGCTTCATCTGTTGGTAATCGACAGGTATGATTAGGTCGTGTTCACCCGCGGCGCTGGGTCTTCTCGACCATTTCTATTAGGTAACACATCCACCAACAAACCGTTGTCGGTTCGTTTCAGAAGAGCCGCAAAGTGACATCATATTACTTACCTGTCGTATATCATCTTCATCATTAGGTACTCACTGGGTAGGTATAACGTGTCCTTCTTCATATGTCATAAGAATCTGGGTCAGGTAGGTAAGCTTAGGTACCTGGTATCTATACTCGCGAGGTGAATTGTGTAAGAACACTAGCAAACAATCTTGAGAGGAATCTGCAAGGGAAACTAAGTACCCCCCTAAGGCAAACATCATTAAAGATAACGAGTCTTCTTGGATATCTCTATACTTGTAAGTCTATGCTTACCTGACTTACCTCTATAAAGTCGAAAATCCAACACATGATAAGAAATGAAACAAAAGGTATAAACTTGCTTAGTTATAAGTACCTAAGTTAATACCTAACTAGTATAAATTAATTTAGGTTGTGTCTTGTTGCACAGCTTCGACGTAGCTCGATTGGGGGGGCATTGGCCATAGTACATACAAACATCCATGTAAGCCCGGGTTTCCAACGTACCACGGCCAGGGTATGTAGGGTAACCTAGTAGGGGAAACCTGATATCGTGTAATTGGCTATTGATAAGTAAGTATGTAGAAACGATCTTCTTCATCATATTGTTCTTATCAGCTTGAAATTCTAGAATTTCGCAACGAAAGTCCCAAATCCTCGATACCGTACTTTAATCTGATAGGTGTATTTTCTTTCTTCCTCTGCGAGCAACTCCACAGCTATCTTATACGGTACCTACCTAGGTAATATAGTAACGAGCAAAGTTGATGTTTCCCTCCTAGCAAACCCCGTCTATTAACGAGAGTAAATATACAAGGTATCTTAGGTACCTAACGTAGCCAGCCGAAAGATAGGTACCTTACCTAGATACACTATCTATTCTTAATGCTACTATAGGTTAATGCCTACTGCAATATCCCAATCGTATGACAGCAGCCTGCTTACATTTTTAGTCGCGTGCCGTTCCCACGTAACTTCGCTGGTACACAGCACGCAGCCCATATCTCTCACGACGTCAGCATGGATGAACAGGGAACAAGGCTAATCGGATATCCTCCTTCATTAGTCTTGTAATGCCGTAGTAAAATAAAAGCTAACTGTGTCAAGCTTTCTTATTGTGTTACATATCGTACATCTCCCGCATTATTGACAATGATAAATGCAGCTAGGCCTATTCATCCCTCAGCGCCGTCAGGATTCCGCCTTGTCCTATAACAAGGGTCTAGACCGGTAGATCCGTACATCTAATTTATATATAGGGAACCTAAATATCCCGCTGCCAATTGAATATAGCTGATTTTTCGCGATTTTCCCTCTCTCCTCCTTCTTATCTTTCATGAAGGCCCACGCTACCTTAGGTACTAACCAATAAATGGATTAAGCCATAGAGGAAGAGGCCAACATTCGTAAAAATGTCAGAAGATACCGAGAAAGAGGTTGCGAATAATGCTAGGGTTAGTTCGCATCCTTACGCGAATGGAGGCCATGACGAGGAGGTCGGAATCGTCAACCAGGGCGGACAGCTTCGCACGGATTTGAGGAATCGTCATATGCAGATGATAGCAATTGGTGAGGATTTTACAGAGTGTAGTATCTTCGAAGAACTGCAATAATTTGCTAATGTGATGATACTCATAGGCGGCGCTATCGGAGCTGGTTTGTTCATCGGATCGGGTAGTGCTCTATACCACGGAGGACCAGCTGCGTTGGTAGTTCTCCCTCTATTAACCTCTCTGGGGGGTAACGGAATATGCTACTACTTACCTAGATACTAACGTCATGACGGTCTTAGATCATCGGCTACCTCATCGTCGGCGTCATGTTGCTATTCACGATGCAGGCTCTCGCAGAATTAGCAGTCATGTATCCAGTAAACGGAGCGTTCTATACTTATGTTGTGAGATTCGTCGACCCGGCTTGGTAAATATGTCATTCACCTGGCACCTATGTCTCTCTACTGACAATTGAGGTCTCGCGTAGGGGTTTCGCAATGGGATGGGACTATGCCATCGCCTGGCTTACTGTCCTGCCTTTCGAGCTGATCGCTGCCGGCATCACCATCGAATTCTGGCGATCCGACCTTAATATAGCTATATGGGTTACCGTATTCCTAGTAATCTTGGCTCTAATCCAGATATTCGGTGTGCGAGGCTACGGTGAAGGTAAATAAAAGGCCGCGTATTGAAGGATTCGTGTTGTGCTTGCTGACGACATATAGTCGAGTTTATCCTTAGTATGGTCAAAATCGCGGCTTGCTCAGGTTCGTATCTAGAACTAGCCCAAATATACCTCAACTCACCTCTATCTTAGGGTTTATCATATTGGGTATTGTAATAAATTGCGGCGGAGTTGGTGATAGGGGATATCTTGGCGCAAAATACTGGTATGATCCAGGGGCTTTCAAGAACGGCTTCAATGGGTTCGCAGGAGTCTTCGTCGTTGCCGCCTTCGCTTTCGGCGGTACCGAACTGGTTGGTCTAGCAGCTGCCGAGTCGGTCGATCCTCGACGCGCGATCCCCATGGCTTCTAAGCAGGTTTTCTTCCGCATTGCCTTCTTCTATATTATTAATCTTTTCATCCTCGGATTAATACTGCCATCGAACGATACGCGCTTAGAGAACGCGACCGGTTTCAACTCGAGTTATTCGCCTTTCGTCTTAGCTATCCAGGATGCTGGAATAGCTGTCTTACCGTCGATATTTAACGCAGTAATCATGATTTCAGTCATCAGCGTTGCCAATTCGTGCACATTCGGCTCGACACGTACAATGCAGGCTATGGCCGAAAGAGGCATGGCACCTCAATTCCTTGCGTACATCGATAAAGCCGGTCGACCCCTATATTGTGTTATGGTACAACTTGCATGTGGTCTTTTGGGCTATGTCGGTGTGGCATCGAACGGATTGGATGTCTTTAACTGGCTACTCTCTCTTTCGGGCTTGTCATACTTATTCGTATGGGGATCCTGTTGCCTCGCTCATATCCGATTCAGGTTGGCTTGGAAGGCACAGGGACGGAGTCTGAGAGAGATCCCTTATAGACCACCCTTAGGAATCTGGGGTAGTGTCATCGGTTTGACTCTCAATATTATCTGTCTGATTGCAACTTTTTATAATGCTCTTTACGTAAGCTGAACACTTCCGTTATTCATGGAGCCCCTTTCCCTTTCCCTTTCCCCATCCCCTATTGAGATTTATGGAATACCATTACTGACGCGTTCGGTGGTTAGCCTTCACCTAATTCTCACCCAGAGGCCGCAAAATTCTTCCAAGCGTACCTCGCTGCCCCGATCGTCATTTTCTTGTATGTGTTCTGGAAGACATGGTCAGGTAGTTGGCGACAGATGTGGGTCAAACTTAACGATATTGATCTGACGGCCGGAGCTCGTCCGTTGGAGATGGAGGAGGAGGATACGATTATGGAGGAAAAGACATGGCTTAACCTACCTTTTCGCATGATCAGAGCTATATTTTAGGCGTTGTGTCGTTACTCTTGGTAAGTCTACTAATGAGGTTCGAGATAATTCGTGGAAGGCTTTAGCATAGATTATGTGTACTATGAGTGTTGATATGCTCTATTGTATAATGGTCTAGGTTACCAATTTAGTTTATTATTATTCATGTTACTCTTATTAGATAATACGGTAGCTCTTACTAGTAGCTCTTGCTAGTATCTCTTAAGTTTTCGCGTCTTGTAGTTTCTCTTGAAATGTTTAGGTAGTATTTGCCTAGAAGGTGCCTACCTACCCAGGTGGTAACTGCTTCCACTATTCACCTAGATGCCTAACCTTAAGTACAGGTACCTAACGTGTCATTTATTTAGCACTGTGTTACCAAAAAAAGAAATATTCCTATTTTCTACAACGCCGACCATCATTAACCTTGAGTTTTTCAATTCCCTCTAACCATCACAATTCATTGGCGATATACTATATACTATAATCAACAAAATCCTTCGTGGCATAAACTCATCGGCTAATCAATATCAATTATTAATATAGTCTCATATGCGCATAGGACTTGGAGAGAGCCCTTTGCAGTTGTCAAGATGGCGCAATTTGTTCCTACATCGTTCCCCCAGTTTAGATCTCTTCCTCCGGAGCTACGATCTTTAGTTTGGGAAGCTGCCTTTCCTGGCCAACGACTTCTTCGGTTTCCGAGGACAGCAGGCTCTGGGCCACAATTACGGATACCGGCTATCGCTCATGCTTGCAGGGAGTCCCGACATGAATATCTCACCAAGGAAGGCAAGAATATCATTCGAACCCGTACAGGTGAATGGTTTAATTTGAAAAAAGACCTTGGTAAGTGCGCCTGGAAACTTATCTTAATTCTTAGATATATTCTTATATTCTTGTATTAAGCTATATTGTATCCTTCTTCATTTTGATAGTGACTCGACCTCACTAACTCTGGTCTATATAGTGAGCCTGTCAATTGACCAACACAACTGCTGGAAGTTAGTCGATGAAGAATTGAAGCCCCATATCAAGTCTATTTTCCTCGTAGACTCAGGACTTTTCAAATCTCCTAACCGTTTAATCGATGGTACAATAAGATTCTTTAAACAAATAATGCGTAGCAGAACTACGCTCGATACCATTAACATCTTCCCTAGTGGCGAGCTTCTTGACTTCTTTCATCCAAGCCAACTCAACGATAGGGTGGCAAATCTATTCGGCAACAACACCGTACTCTCTGTCAACATCCAGCATAAAAGTGAATGCGATAACATGATAGCTAGTCTCAACACCTTTGAAGGGGCTAAGGAATGTGCTATCAACCTTCTTGGGGCCTATGAAATAGGTATGGGACGTGACCTCCAGGGTCATATGGTAGACCTCTTCAAGTATAAATGGATTTATTTCTGGCACATGGTGCATCGATTACCTGCACCACTATTTAAACTCCGATACAACCAGCCGAACCTATCGGTCGAGGAAAGAATAGCCCTGGTTGATAACTATCCTAAATTCCGGCATGTTCTTGATAGGATGCCCAAGATCAACATTGTGCTTCTTGTCGGATTGAAAGAGTCCGAGTAGGATTTTGATACGACGATGGAACTTTAAGATGTCCAAAGGGTCTATGCGTCTAATGGTTCTTTCTACCTTTATTATGGGCAGAGAGCAACATGAGTAAACCATTGCGAATCTTTCTTAGCGTATGAGGCATTTTAGTATTTGAGAGAGCACCGTGAGTTTGATTTTCAATGGACGAAATCGTTCCAAGATTTGTTGCGTTGATTTGGAGTTTACGGCTGGCTAGCTTCAACATCTACAGCAACGATGAGACAGGCGAGGTTAGTTTAGAGGGATTCAAGTCATCTTTTTCTTCGTATTCGAGAAACAGGAAGGCTTATAAACGCGACGGGATACGAGATTCAGTTGTATTTCAGTTACATTTTAGTCAGCCCTCAGAATTATCTCGTTGATTTCGCAATATTTGACCTCGACCCCTAGAACAGTATCATATGCCGTTCGTTAATTAGGTAAATATCCCGTAAACGCGCGGATAGTATTCAATTGCCCCTTCTGTGAACGCCTTTCCACATCTACATCTGTCTTTCTGCTGAGGTGTTGCCACTGAACTTAGTAGTAAGTGAGGTAAGTAAAGTAAATGCCGCCTCTCCAACGCTAGAATACCCCGACGCAATATAACGCGAGGGGCCGGTCGATCGTACATAAGTAAGGTAGGTAAGTACACATATAGGACAAGACACGTTTGTTTCTCCAGCTTCTTAATATCTAATTTCTAACCCTGGTGTCCCTTTCATCATTTCTCATCTCCTCCCCCTATTCTCCGCCTCAGCATCCAAGTCGCGCTCGACCATCTCGATGGAGCTCAAACTCGGGAACCTCTTGGCAAAGTCCTGGATGTAATCCTCCTTCTCCTTAAAGGACATATCGAGGATAGGTCGCCCTGGTAATCCCACACCTGCGAGGTGCTCTGAGGAGCTGCGATGCTCGGGCCCTGGAGGTCGCTGTGTCGACGCTGCTTTTGGTGGTGACCGGGCGCGGGCATTACCTGTAGGGAGCTTATTGAGATGTGTAGGTTTAGGTGGGAGCGTGGGTTTAACAGGTGAGCTGGGATCGGGTTGAGCGCGACCTCGAGCGATAGCAGCAGCATCAGTTGATGTAGAGACAGGCTTGAGAGGAGTGGTGCCTCGTCCGCCGGTGAAGTTTTTTGGGGGAACTTCGGGAACTTGTTTCTCTACACGACTCTTAGCCGCAGCTGCGTCTGAGAACTTGCCGTAGCCGGACGCCGTGCGCTGAACCTGCTGTGAGGACTTTTGCGACTCGTCTAGTAGATTTTGCACGCGGTTCTGTATGCTTACAGCTCGGGAAACACCACCGATGCTCTTGGGCAGCGAACCTGATGGTCCTCCGCCGTCCCGAGCAGCCATTCGTTGCTTATATTCCGCAGCCGCAGCCTCTACTCGCCGTTCCTCCTCAGCAAGAGCTTGTAGCTCAAGCTCCCGTCGCATTTCCGGTGTCATCTCTGGTTCTCCAAGATGCCCATCATCGCTACGGCCGTCGGTTGCCTCCGATCCCGCAATAGGGGTTAGATCGTGACGCTCCATGTCCTTGAGTGGGGACGGTGTCCGTGCACCTGATCCCGAAGGGGTAGTCTCAAACCGTTTAAAAGCATCACCAAACCTTCCGGCCAAGATGTTCTTGGTACCCGACAAGGAAGTTAAGCTCGAGCGCTTTGTATGCTGTTTCGTGACTTTATCTTTCTTCTTCGTATCAGAATCCTCCATCGACCTGAGAAAGTCTACGTTTGATTCTATCGCTGTCTCGTCCTGGGGCTCAAGTCTAGGGGATGAAGCATTCCCAAGTAGATTTGGTGAATAGCTAGGGGAGCGAAGTGGCCTTGGTGCTGCCTCCCGTTCGCGAAGGTAATCCATATCAGATTCAAGATAAGTACTGACAGGCCTAGGACGTCCACCGGTAACTGATGCCTTTGATAGTGGTTCGAGCTGTTCGGCACTAGGTCGACCACTTTCTAGAGATGGACGGGATGAAGATGAATGCCGAGCATGCGCTGGTGATGGTTGAATAGAATCGATACGAGGGGTTGGCGTTGGCCGGAGCGCATATCCTAGTTCCGGGCGCTTTTGACCAGTACCTATCGGTTCCTGCTGTCTAGGCAAACTCGCTGGGCGGTTCTGGTCTGCCGGAGGAAATCGATGGATCGGAGGGTAATCTCGGGTTTGTTTTTCAGGGGGAGGGGTACCAGTCATGGTTCCAGTTGAAACCATCGATGGTCTGCTTAGAGTATCTTGAGGGGTTTGCGGCGGAGGGGAAGAAATAGCCTGAAGCTCAGGATTACTGGATATTATGGCCGAAGCACGACTCATTTCCGAGGGTTGCTTGAGAGGCGCGGAAGCGGGCTTGTTGACTAAACCAGGTGGCGGCGATGACTTTCGCAACTCAGTTACAGCCGTTACCGACTTCACTCGGCTCAGATCTGTTGACTGCCTTTGATCTGTCGGGGCTGTTCCTACCGTAACTTGAGGCCTAATAAATGCTCCTTCTACTAGATGATCGGTGACGCGTTGGCTTATGTGCTTCTGTGGATCCGCAGGAGATGTTGGACTATCAAAATCGAATTTTGAACCTTGGTCATGTAGAAGGGAGAATTGGTCAAGTGTCGGGAACCTAGATGATAGTTCATCCGCCTCGGTGCCGGGGCCTGTTTTAGAGTCTAATGCAGCAAACGGATCACCGCTTGTGATTCTCGCCGGAGATGGGCTTGGTTTGGCTGGTTGTTTTGGAGCAGATTGACTGGAAACAGTCGGCCTACCACGCCTCATGGGCGTAATATCCGGGAGTGCTTGAGTCTGTGGTTGCTGTGGAGGGGAATATACAGCGCCTATACCTGGCGTGCCCCTGCCCTCCTTCCCAGCAGTTGCTTGATTCTCACTTCTCTTAGTCTCTGACTGGAGTTGTCCGGAATAAATCTATAACATGTTAGATGAATATTGAAAGGTCGGAGAATTATACCTACGTCGTGTATAGGCACTTCACGTCCCTGCATCCGACAACTTTCTCGGAGCACTTGGTAAATATTTGGTCGAGATCGCAAGTCTTCTCGTAACATGGATGCTTTATGAGATTGCTTAGTATAGACGTTCTAGTACCGGATTGTATACCTTACCGATCAATTGTTTTAACCTGTCGGAGAATATTGGATAACTAGGAAACCTGAAGCTTGCATTCAAAATGGCTAGCTGCCCTTGCTCTTCAAATGGCGTAGTATAGTAGCAGAGCTTGTAGAGGAGCACTCCTAGAGCCCAGATATCTGATTTCTCGTCTATTGGCTGCTTTCGATATACGTCAATCATCTCCGGACTTCTGTATTGTAATGTAGTATGCCTTTGAATATCTTCATCTATCAAACGGCATTCTACGACAGTCTGAGGTGCAGGTCTCGGAGGGGCCGCCGAGCCAAAATCGCACAGCTTGAACTTCATATTGGTCCCATTTACTGTGATGAGGACGTTCTCAACTTTCAAGTCTCGGTGCAGTAGAGGAGGTTTGAGATAATGCATGCAGGCGACACCTTCTGCAACATCGGAGAAGATATTCAAGATTTCGGGCTCGGTAAGACGGTGCTGTAACCGGGTATTCATAAAGTCGATCAGCCCCCCGCCATTACAGTATTCCATAAGTAGGAACACTTCATATCCGCTGCCGCCCTTAATCTCGGACGCGTGCGAATCGATATATGTAACAATTGTTTCGTGCCCCTTAAGCCGCTTCATCGTCTCAACCTCTGTCCGCATCCCACGGAGAGTCTCCTTGTCCGGCACAGCAACCCTCTTCAACACAGCCAGATCTGTTCCATCGACGGGGCGTGGTAACTTGACGAGGTATACATGTGCAAACCCGCCTTCGGATAGGTATTTCTGGATTACCACCCTATGATTGCCGACCTGTATCTTGGTGCCCGGAGCGAAGGTACCAGCAGGAGCAGAGTGTCCATGTATCGGTATTTGAGCGTGGTTATGTATTGGCGCACCGTAACTAGCCTGCTGACCAGGTCGAGGGACTGCCACTGGCATTGTATTACTATACGAAGCCATGCTGTGGGTTCGAGGTAGAGTCTATAATAAAGGAAACGGGAAGACGAGTAGGTAGACGAGGTGGGAGTCGGTAAAGGGTTAGCACGGTCGGGGGGTATCTTCACGTTTCTGGCATCGAGACAGATAGCATGCGCCTTGCAGCTATAACGGACGCATATCTGAACAGACAAGCGAAAAAATTAGTAGTAAAAAGTGAGTTTAATTGTATAAACACACCTAAGAAGCGATATCCTAGGTGGCTTTGTGTTGTTAGTATTTAGTATTTAGACTTCAACACGGTTAAACGTGGTGAATTAGACGTGGTGAACTAAACTGTAGGGGTTGTTTAATGTTGTTAATACATAAAGTCGGTCCCTTTTCCCATTTGTCTAGTTGTTTCGTAACAGCCTGTGCCACCTGTAAACGTCCCCGTAATCGTCCCCACTAGATCCCCTAAGGTCTAAGGGGTACGTAGCACAAGATTGACACTTAGGACTTAGATACGTCTACATAAGTTCTACATGAATGCATAACCTCGATAAATAACCTTGATAGATTACATATACATAATCCGCAGATACTACCCAAGGGGTTCAGGGATGACTAAGTTTAGAACAAGGATCCACTGCAAGTAAAGCATTTCTTATTTGGGGCTAGCGAATAGCAACACAGCCAACCACTGTTACCTCACAGCCTCAGCCCTTCATGTCAATTAATCTTCTCAGATGCATTAGGGACATATCGATAATGATGATGGGGTATATTTCAATGTTACACCATGATACAACTCCAGGCATAAGCTACTAGTAACAAACCGTCTATTATTGTACAGTAATAGTTTGTGACGCTTAAACACACGGAATGTTTATAACCTTAAAATGGCAATGAAACTCTGGTTTACATAGTATATTAGGTACAGAATTCATTCCTGCGTGGAGATCGGTGTACCTCCTTTAAATATTCCCCTATCATTCGGCTCATTCAGAGTCCTCACCACCATTCCCTCTCCCACCGCTTGGGCCTCCGTTACCCCCATCAAGGAGCAGTTTAGGCTTGATGTAATCCTCATCAAGTTGTCTAAACAAGGCCTGGGGGTCCTGAGCGGTAAGTAATTGCTTAATAGCTGCCCTAGCAGAAACGGGTGCTGCCTCTCGGTGACCTGAGGTTGGGTATGAGAATACACCTTCTTCTTCTGACGTCCCGCTAGGTGTAAGAATAGGGCTCCGCGGTGCTTTACGTGCTGGAGGCGGGAGATCTGATGTGTCAATATCGCTTCCGAGATCCGAGTCGGTCACATTACCGCCACGGCCTAGGAGGTCCGCTCGTTCGACATCCTCACCAACTTGGCGAGAACCCTTACGGCTGGAACTAGTAGCACGTGATGTTGGGAAAGACGGTGAACGATGCCCTGATACATAACTTCCTCGTTCTGGTCCAGCGGGTTGCTGGAGTCTCCCAGAATCCACCCGATTAAGACGCACAGACCCATTTCTCTGTCGGGGATTATATCCGATTCCGGTTCCAGACCGTTTATAATAAGAGCCTGATGGCGCAGCCTCGATATCGAATTCGTCGTCGCTATCAACCTCTTCGACAACACCCGTCCTAATACCCAGTATTTCCAACATTCGTGCCGTAGTGCCGCCAAAGATGATCACAGTGAGCACTACCACGACGAGCACAGTAGCCTTCAACGCGTACGAGTTTTTCCCGGTTAGTAAAGCGGCCAGCGCCACACCGACAGCTCCCCGTAGGCCGGCCCAGAATAGCATAGCTTGGTAGCTGTACGGAAGCTCGTCGCTAACCTCCTTACCCTGACGCCGTGCCCGATAATGGTGAAACCAATTGATAGCCCTAGACAACGGAAACACGGCTACCCATCGCGCGGCACAAACGGCGATGATGGTGACAATTATCAGGGGCGGTTGAAACTGGAGGTCATTATCCGTGAATAATGATAGGCCTAAATAGATGAAGATGAAATTTTCGGAAAGTTGGGCTAATATTTGGAAGAAGTACTTGGTACTGAGCTGTGTTCGTCGTGACATGTTGAAGTATGCGTAATGCTTAAGAGTAATACCACAGAACAGCAAAGACACGATACCTGTCGAGTATTAGATGCTACCTTATTAGGATACGATACGAGAGCAAAGACATACCTGACATCTTTACTCCTTGAGAAAAGAAGTAGCTCGCATATGCGATTAGCACGATCAAGCAAGTTTCGATTTGAGGGTACCTCCTGATATAGGTGAATTTCAGAGCCAGCGCAGTACCAACGCCAACCAGAACCCCGATAAGCAAGCTACCAAAGAAGATGAGCAAGAAGATGCCCACACCTTCGAGGAAACTCAAAAACCCATATGCACCTGCGGAATCGCTCTTGTACTTCTGCGCGGTCTCGAAAATGACAATCGCAATAGCATCGTTCAAGATAGACTCGCCAAAGATAACGGTATATAGTTTTGGGTCCACTTTGTAGGTATTGAAGATGGCTAAGATAGTGACTGGGTCCGTAGCAGATAAAGTTGCACCAACAGAGATGGCATCAATAAATGTCATCTCAAGCCCTTCAAGTGGTATTCGGGTATACAGCCATAACAGCAAGCCGATTACTACGGCAGACAAGAAAGTACCGGCGAAGGCAAAGGTCAGGATAGTACCAATGTTCCGAAAGAAATTGGCTTGATGTAGCTCGTATCCGGAGTTTAGGATGATAGGTGGTAGTAGTAAGTTGAAGAAGATCTGGTAGTCGAAACTAACGAGTTGTCGAATAGAATGGCCGGTGCTCACTCTAAGAATTAACCCTACGGTCATTCCTATTTATTTAAGATCAGCTTGTTGTCATCATCATCATGTTCATCTCGTTCTATGACCAACCAGCAAAAATAGAGATTACTGTTTCATGGACAGCTTGGACCTTCTTCTGCTGTAGCATATAGCTGGTGAAGAAGGCAATTATGAGGAGCATAATTGATATGAATAGCGCCCATGATGCGAATATTTCCTTCTGTCCCGAGTCGGCGTCTAATAGGTTGTTAGATCAAGTCGATATGCAGGCTCGAGCCTCGAGCCGCGAGCCGCAAGCCGCAAGCTGAGCAATCAGGTAATAATATCATACCATCAGGATCTGTCTCTTCGTCCTCTCGTCCTATAGGGTATTATAGTTAGGTAAGTTATAGATGTGACGATGGATTAGAATTGGTTGGCATACGAACAAGCTCCATAATGGAGCCAGCAATTTCTGTTAACATGATCGCGACAAAGACGTCGTCAAGTCGGGTGTTGATGCTTGGGTAGAATATAGATTTCTTGCTCCAAACTGAGCACTAAGAATCGGGCGTGAGAACGCATGAAATGTCGAGGGTCCTGGTTTCTTAGTGTGATGTTGTGCGATGCGATGAAAAGTGAGGACAAGTTGAGGTCAAATTCAGTTTACTGCGCTTGATCAATGCGAGAAGTTGAAATCGACAGCTTGCACTTTCTGCTATTCCTGGCTACTAATTGCTTAATTGCGCCGCACTACCGCAAAATGTGTATGTGGTACAGGTACGAATACACTACGCCTGCAGGGCTTGACCCACCTGTAAATACTTACCTGGGTACCTAACCCAAAGTAAGCTGAAGCTAGAACGGACTTTACGGCTTAGTCCCGTTATAACGATACCTTCCACTAGATAGGCATATAAGAACAATACATGTGTGCCTCTAACCCCGCTTATGGTTTTATCTTGAGTACCTAAGGTAGGCTTTATGAATAACTAGCTCTTCTATTAAGCTAATGAAACAAACGTAACAGGCGTACTGCATATATGTAGGTAACATTTACACCAATAGATATATTAATCACTACCTAACATTAGGCAGACATTTACTCTTGAGAATATTAAAGAGAAGTTGCAACTTAAAGGTGACGAGAGTTACTAAAGACAAAGTTTAAATCTAAACCAGTCAGAGTCTAGCCTATCTCCACAGTCCCTCGTTCCCGGAATCGGAAACGCTTCATAAGTTCTAACCTAGTCCCATTACATCCATAGATCGCAAAGTGCCCTGATGTCATCGCAGCTAATAATCGAATAATGTACAGATCTAAATCCGACTGGTTTATTAGCATCCATTTCCTCAGGTCATGCGCATTATAACTAGCGTCTTGGATTGCCTATTAACATATTATTTACTACTACTACCTTAGGTAGCGTCCAGCTCATCCCTCGTTCTTTATACTAACCAATTACCACGCGCCACCCATTCTAGCTGTACCTCTCGGCGTCTTATGCGTCTCGTGCTGTTGCCTCGAGTTCGAGACCGTGTGACATTTATTACCTACCTAACCTATACATCAACTAGTCTAGACGGCTAAATTCATCCGACCCCGGTCTACCGAAACTTCTCTATATCCATAACCTTTTACACTTGATATGCACGCGTATAACAACAGAAAGTTGACAATCACGTTTCCCATCGTTAGCTTCCCTCCTTTGCCCGTAGCGGACTTCTCCTTCGTCGTTAGACATCATATTATCGAACTTGGTTGCGAAAACCATACCATCTAATCGATGACCTCGTCATTGTCGAGCTCCTCGTCTTCGTCCTCGTCCTCGGCCTCGGACCATCGATCTTCGTCGAATCGCAAATATGATCTATCCTCAAAATTAGACAATAATGCTGATCCCGCGTGGTCCGAAAGTACAATAAGGGTCAGCGCAGGGGAGGCTGCCGGTCCGGATAGGCTCAATGAGAACTCTCCTCTCCTCTCCCCCAGCCGGGACGATTCCCTAGACGAGGGTCATGAGAGACAGGCCGAAGAGGATGAGTTCCAGACAACCAAGAGCTTATGGTACCTCCTACTCTTGACGATTAGTATTGGAGGACTGCAGGTCGCCTGGGCTGTAGAGCTATCTAACGGCACTCCGTACCTACTATCTCTCGGCTTAAGCAAGTCTCTGATGGCTCTTGTGTGGGTCGCCGGTCCGCTCACTGGAACCTTAGTACAGCCATACGTCGGTATGCTTAGTGACAACTGCAGAATATCCTGGGGGAAGCGCAAGCCATTTATGCTTGGTGGTGCGGCTGCCACATCGCTAGCCTATATGTTTCTTGCGTGGATTCGAGAGATCATCGGGGGGATATTCGGCTTATTTGGAGTTGACTCCGATTCCCATACAGTAAAAATCACCATTATTGTTATCGCCGTCATCTGGATCTACGTCCTAGATGTTGCTGTCAATACAGTTCAAGCATCTATTAGGGCCTTCATCGTTGATTGTGCGCCATCGCATCAACAAGAGGCTGCAAACTCTATGGCTAGCAGGCTTGTGGGTGTCGGTAACATCATCGGGTACATCGCTGGTGGAATTGACCTTCCGAAATATGTTTGGTGGTTTGGGGGCTCTCAGTTTAAGGATCTTTGCGCGATTGCGAGCATTGCACTTTGTTCGTCGGTGATATTGAGCGTTATAGTCATAAAGGAGCGAAATCCTCAACTTGACGGACGTCCTGCCACCGACCGACCTGGCCTTCTGTCGTTTTTTGTGAAGATATTTGCGGCGATCAAAAGACTTCCACCGCAAGTTTCCAAGGTTTGCATTGTTCAATTTGCAGCATGGATCGGCTTCTTTCCCATGCTGTTCTACACATCATCCTATATCGGAGAAATTTACGTCGAGCCCTTCCTAGAAGAGAATCCCCACATGACTCCCGAAGAGTTGGATGAGCTTTACGAGAGGGCTACCAGAGTGGGCACCTTTGCCTTATTAATATTCGCCATCACCAGTCTAGCAACTAACGTTCTACTTCCTTTCTTCATCGACCCGACCTATGATAACAATCCTGTTGTTGCCAACGCGCCTGGAGAAGCTCCTGGGCTTCTTGGAAGTTCTGTTCCCGATAGCAAGAGTTTCCTAGCCCGTCTAGTCATTCCCGGGTTTACCTTACGAAGAGCCTGGATGTTGTCGGAAATCCTGTTTGCTGGTGTGATGTTTTGTACAGTGCTCGTCCGAACAGTTGAAGCTGCGACCGCGCTTATTGGCCTTCTTGGAATTACGTGGGCTTTGGCACTCTGGGCACCATGGGCCATCATTAGCGCCGAAATCAGTCGTCGCGATATTTTATATCGAGCCCGAAAACAGCAAATGAGATCACTCGCGCGAGGTGAACAGTTAGATATCGCCGACTCTGACGATGGGCTCCTCGACGACGACGAGTCTCGGTTGCAAGCTGACGAGGCGGAACCAGACCAAGCCGGTGTTATCCTCGGTATCCACAACATGGCTATTGCCTCACCACAGTTCATCGCTACTCTTGGTTCTAGTATTATCTTCCGTATTTTTCAGAAACCAAGAGGCGTCCCCGGCGACCACAGTATTGCTATCGTCTTAGCATCAGGAGGCTTCTTCGCACTTATAGCAGCGTATTTCATTCACAGAATCAGCGAGGATACGTCGATACCGGTAGCTGCTGTTTATGCTGTAGAACAAGGTGACCCAATCAATTCACGGCCGAGTACATCACACAGTAAGAGAAGTATCGACCGGCCCAGAGTCAGTCTGGAACAAGCGACTGTAGCTAGAAACAGTAGCTTCGGTGCGGGTTTGGAGTACTAAACATGCCCCCGGTGTGCTATCCTGAGGATTGCTCACGATATTGATCGATGAGTTCGTGAAAGGTTCACCTATATCTCTTCGTATTTTCTTACCCATGTGACACACTGAGCCCCGCAGGTGATAGACATACACAATTCATGCTTTATTTATCGGGATTTTTGGTTGGTTGCCGAGGGGTAGTTGATGTAAATTGCCTTAGATGATGTGTATACCTAAGTTATATCTCTGTATTCTACATGTAATCCTTACAGCTATTTTCAGAACGCTAATAAATGCTTATTTAAAAGCTAAGACACGTTTTGATCCGCAAGAGATCCCCCATGGGGAATAGCGGGAAGTAGAATGGCTAGTATGGCCTACATATCTCAATAGGCTAAATTCCACGACTCTTAGTTCCCCACGTTCAATATAATATGATCTCCGGGGCAAGATCGTCGGAGGCTCCTATCCGCAGTTCACTACAAGCTTTGCTATAGACCTCTTCCTAGTCGTCCTCCTACGGTCCGGCCTGCCATCTTTAGATTGCATCTAGGCCGTGCCTGGACCATCTCCCCTTAATGGATCCCCTGTCCCGTGCACGTTTCCCGGTTAGGGTGCCAATGGCACGATGAATGGAGTCTATCGTCTTGTCGTGTATAAAGCACCACAGCCCCCAGGAAACCGTATATGGCACTCTAACACCGGGTTCATTCTTTGACTATTTCAATCCGCATAACCTTTCAACCGGGCCCGCACAAATCCTTCCAACACCTACAAGGTAGTCGCCAATATATCTTAGGTGCTCTAAGATGAAGGTTACTCTCTTTTCGGCTCTGGCTGCCGTCGCCAGCGCAGCCGTCCTTTGGGATGGACGATTCAACGATCTAGGCACATCAGCCGACTTAAACAAATGGTCGTGGGGGAACCAAGTCGGACCGTACCAATACTACATCCACGGATCGGGCTCAGTCGAAAAGTACATCAACTTCTCGCCCGACTTCAAGAACCCGGCGGACACGGTATCGAAACAAGGAGCCAAGTTCACGCTGGACTCGACCGCCTTCTGGAACGGACAGAACATGCGACGCATCGAGCTGATCCCCCAGACTAAGGCTGCTATCAACAGCGGCAAGGTGTTCTACCACTTCAGCATAATGCGCAAGGACACCAACGCCCCGTCTAAGAACCGCGAGCACCAGATCTGCTTCTTCGAGAGCCACTTTACCGAGTTGAAGTACGGTTGGATTTCCGGCGAACAGGGCACCGAGAATGTGAACTTGCAGTTGTAAGTGACCATGCCATCCGTACATACTCTTTTCCCAGAGTGCTGGAAACAGTATGTATCCCTATATAAGTAGCACCTGTTAATATAATACTTCCCCACACAGCATGGTCTCGCAAAACTCCAAGTGGAAGACGGAGTGGAAGCCCAACGTATGGCACAACGTGGCTTTCGAAATCGACTTCGGCAGCGGCTCGGTCGGCTTCTGGCACTCGGAGGGCGGCGACGCGCTGAAGCAGCTAGTAGCCCCCGTCAAGACGTCAACTTCGTCTAACGGCGCCGACTGGCACCTGGGTATTCTCGAGCTGCCGCGCTCTGGCTACTCCGACGGCGTTGAGGACTTCTTCTTCTCGGGCGTGTATGTCGAGAGCGGTACCATCACCACTACTATCGGCGGTCCTGGTAAGTAACTAAATTCAATGTCTGTCTTATTGTCGTGGTTAACTGGTATACTTACACCTTCGCTTTTAGCTGCGTGATGACGGGCGAAAACGTACGTCAAGTTTGCATAGGGAATGGTTGAACGGTGTTCATGTATTTAAGTAGTTCAGCTCCAATTGTACATATGGACGACAGATCTAACTGTTCCTTTGAATTTCCTTTCCATGCGGTGTTTATCGCCCACGACCATTTCAAAGAATGATAGGATTGCCTTAGATACCTCAGGTAATGGTACCTCCTAAGGTGCTCAGAATACTCGCCCCTATACCTATCCCCAACCATGCCCAGACAGAAAAATTCACCCACCGCCTCAGCATCTCCAACAGATATAGCCCAATCTACTTCCATCATCCAACTTAACAAGGCCCAAGGATGGTAGGAACTTCACCGGGTATCGGGCCTCGGGATACATCCCACGATGTGTACCCAGCCCAATAGAAGCAGACATTGCTGCCGGAATTGCAGTAGCTATAATCGCAATGTCCCGTAAAACTATCCAGAGGTGACGACGCAGAAGATGACGGGGGAAATATCGTAGTCGGTGGCGCTGTTGCACTCATCGTCGAATTTGCGATTCCGGTCGGGGTGGGAGTGCTAGCCGGGGGATATCCGTATCCTCCAGGGGGTGCCTCCGTGGAGTTAATAGCTGTCACCGCGACAGCGGTTTCGAATGGGTGTGGAAGCGCCCAAGTTGCGGAGGTGAGAAGAAAGAAAAATGTGATCAGGTTATAGAAAGTAGCCATCGTAGCTATTTAAGGATAGTTCTAGCTCTCAATGAATATATCAGGTTTGGACCGAGGCTTCTATATGTTGGCGGTATTCACAACTTAGACTAACGAATGACAGACTTGTTTTCGTCGCCACCTTGACTGAAGTAGTTCCAAGGCATTTCTATCTCATTATATATTATAACAATGTACCCTAGGTCAGCTCGACTGATCCTACTCCGGCAAGGGATTCGTCAGCAGTCGGACAACATGTTTCCCTAGATTGGCGAATTAATCGGCACCTCGTTCCTAAATATACAGAATCGTGACGTTTCTCTTACTGTTAGTTGCCAAAGTCGAAGACGTCCGATTCGGTGAGATAGTACCGAGCGAACAATGTTTGATAGCTCGACATATCTACAATATGCTCACCTATTACACAACGAGGAATCCCCGGGGTTACACTTCTTCTTAATTGGATGTTTGCCGCTAGCTGGACGTTGAGGGAAACATATTAATATCTGCAAGATACTGCAGGTATCCAATATTACGGTGGACCATTATTACAACTGTGCCAAAATCGAGAAAATAGGTGGCACTATGTCTAATAAGGTAATAGTAAGACAAAAATACAGTGTAAGCTCAATTAATATGCGCTGTATACACAATTAACACCCCTTTTAACCTTATACCACAATAACTTTACGAATACGTATCCAAATATTTTTCAAAATACACCAATATTTTGACTTAAAAATAATAAAAATTACTATCCAAATTGCATGTAGTTTGACCCAAGATTCGTAAAGATATTAAGACATCTATATACCTAGGTAGGTAGTCTTTCCTATAAAAGATTAGCCAATCAGATATCGCTTTTACTTTAGCCTCATAGGTACCTATATACTAAATACAGGAATTCAATGATAGCACTTACACGTAACTATTCAAATAACTTTACCAATATGCTATTTTATATATTATAATTAGTATCATAATATAGCCCTATTTAATGCGAAAATAAAAATGCAAGTTGCATCTATATATAGCCTTTGGCTGGCGTGTTGTGTCAATATCAAAAAGTCTTATACAGAAAAGCTAAGTCTTATACAGAGAGGCTAGCACGTGATACCCTTTATGACCACTTTGGGTTGAAAATCAAATCAAATCCCCGTATATATATAACACATTATCCCTACGAAATAAATTTAAATAATTACCCAACTAATTTAATAATTTTTTCATACTTCAATTGAAATAACAATATTTTTTTTCAAATTTTTAGAAAGAGTATTCAAAAAATTATTAATAATATAAATAAGTAATGAAAAAACTTGTATATACCCCGCATAGTATACTGTGCACCTTTCATACTAGCCTTTTTTGGACAGATCTGACCTATTTTCTTGATTTTGGCACAGTTGTAATAATGGTCCACCGTAAATATTTGGCATTTCCCGTCCTGCAGGCAGTTGCATATGTCTCATGTATGCCGACAAGGATTGATGCAAGCCTCAAATAAACCACGGGAGAGTTTTTAATAACAGGTACTTAATGCTTCGAGACGATATAGGATTGTAAGTCTATGGCTAGAAAGTTCCTGCTTGTCCAAAACTAAGAGATATCTTCGGAATTGTCAAAATCGCAAACAACCAGGAGGTTGAAGCTATTTAGTAGCACAATAGATCGCTTCCGGCCCGATATCTCTTAGATTATTGGTATATCTCGCAAAATACCGCTAACTCACGCAAACATGCGGGTATCTACAGCCAGACAGAAGTTGCTTTTTCTCGTTCTTTCTTTTTTGTTTTTGTGTCACTACACCAGGCATTCAGATACGATCTGCGGATAATCCCGAACCGCACTCTAGCAACTCCGGCTATGATGATTGTGTTAACGGGTATATATCTGGTATTACTATTCATCTATGAACAGGAACGCGTGTCTAAGCTTAGACTTTGGCGATGAAGCTTTAACCTCAGGGGGTTTCTAAGACCCACTAGACAACTTGGCCTCAAACGCCGGTCATATTTCTACGTTGTCACCTTTACATACTTCCTAAACGATCGTGGCTTTACTGGGTTAGTAGTAGCTTCAACTAATCCCATGATTAAAATGAGATCCAAGCCCCTTTATAAACACTAGTCACGTTCTACAAAGTATAGCACCCAAAATCGAATAGAATTAAGATTATATTCGCTATTATTTTACTTAGCTATACATATGTCCAACTTTCGTATTTTCGTACTTTCGTGAATAGGAAGGTAATCATCACCATAAGACCGCCAAACCTAGCTCTCATACAATGAACTAATTCTTGAGAGTTGTAGGCATTCAAAGCTATTAAACTTGGAATAGATCCAATATTATGCGATATTAAGAAGAGGAGGGGAACACTTGGGTAATATCAACGGGCTCGCAAGTTGGGTTGTGAGGCTCCCCAGTCAAGGTCCATCCAACCGACTGGTAGTAGTAACTAGTAAAGTATTGCCAGCACACATACCTACTTATGGTCAGTCGCTGCATGAAATAAAAGGCTTGAGATGGTCCGAGAAGTAGATGCCTCGATCAACAAAGTAGAATGATATACATACCACTGGTAGTACGCCGTTCCGTTACCGCTAGGGAATGGATTCGTTCCGGGAACGAAGGTTGAATCATCGATGTAGTTCCAGCCGAACAGTTTGCTGTCCTTGTCGAAACCAACATTGAAGTAGTAGTTGGAGAAGCCGAACATCGGCGAAGCGACGTTGCTGTTTATAGAGAACTGCAGTCCCAGAGCTTGATCCACAGTAGCTTGGTTTCCGCTTCCGTCGTTGTAGGGGAGCTTCCATACAAGCGTGCCGACGTCGTTATCGTCGACCTTGGTGTAACTAGAAGCATTGAAGTAGTACTGGAAGGATACACCGTCGGGAAGCGCTCCGGCACTGTAGCAGAATCCCTCAATGGCGGCACCGGCATGGCACGAGCCAGCATATCCTATATAAGGTATAAGCTTCCCATCTTTGATAAAGTTAGTTGTAAGACTAACCGTCAATAGAACTGCCTTCTTTTCCCGTTATGTGGAGGGCGAACGGGCCAGTCTGCGGCGGGGCATCTTGAGCAGATACTACAGCGGCTGCGATGCCGACAAGTAGCGACGAGAGTTGGAACCTCATGATGTTGTATCGGTATAGTAGATTAATATTAAGTATATTAGAGGATAGTTCGGAATTAACTAAGAGGATGTCTGGCTCGGATGTAAATTATCATTACATAGGTGGCAGAGCATCCAATTTATATGTCAATGTCAATAGCTCTTTCGCCTGTCAGAAGAGAGATGTTGACCATCACGAGATCACCGATACAGAGAATAGAGATGAAAGACAGACATCGTAGCAGAGATGTTACGCGGTGAGGCGATAATAGACAGCGACCTTGTTCCCATTGGTCACATCGTATCAGCCTCTCTGCACGTGGCCATCAAGGCTCCTAAGACCTAGGATAGATAAAGCTCAAAGCATCACTAGTATGTGCTTTCTCAGAACTGTAAACTATAAGGCTCATACAGTGCTGGTTAGATCGGGTAATTCTTTCAGTCAAATTGGCGCAGTATTTGGATTCCTCGTATATGCGATGTGACATCGTAAAGATCGTCCCCTGTTCTATGGGCTTCTGGTCACATTATGTACAGTACCTTACAGTCGGTAGAATGTCGACCCATTTGTAAGATAATTTTAGCTTGAAAGTGTCCAAATATATCTACAAAGTAGCGTATAACTATCGAATAATAGTATACTTCCCAAGATGCATTTGTTGGAGCTTTTTTATCTACCGATTTCCGATTTATGTATCACGATAGACTGTGGTTAAAGGATTCAAATCCTTTTCGAGTGTTAGATGCCTTATAAGAATATCATATTAAACATAGTTATCATCTTTCCTTTGCTAGATGTCTTGGACTTCAAAAATAGTTGTTATCACATCCATATCATCTTCGTGTCTAAATAAGCGCTAAATATTATTAAACATCAGATTATATACCTGGCTTACCTTACTCAAAGGACTTCGGATGGGATTTTGAAAGGTAAAAGCACCTGCAGTGTCGGGGTGTAGTAACGTTGTTAACGAACGCCGACCTCGTTCAGTAGTAACCTGACGACTAACCCTAGAATAGACAGAATAGACAGATATGTATTAGAAAAATGTAACATAATACGTCATATTAATGCAAGGGAAAATAATGACACTGAGATCGATAGATCTCGAATAAGATTGTCCAATCAGCATTGTCTTAGTCTAGCGTTACCCGTTACCGTTACCGTTACCGTATGAGCTTCCATAGCAACGGGCCAAACAACGTTCGAGAACACTGATAGGCGGTCTAGCGTGATATCAGCCGATCACATCGTCAGCAATACGATCTTTAAGGTCTTCACCATCTAATTAATTTACATTTCTTTCGCGTCATCCGTTCAAATATTTTAGAGCGGGATCTTCGGCAACTTGACCTAGTCTCATCCTCAAAGCGAAATCAAAAGGAACTCCATGTGAAGTCTTCGTGTTGCGCGGACGACTGCATTATATACTCCTCGGTGTCTCGAGTGATATCTATCTAACTACCTACCTACCTTGGATGCATTATCTAAAGAGGACGTTAACCAGGGAAATAGCGAAAACTTACTGACAAGACGGTGTCAATTTAGACAACTCAGGAAAGCATACCATGAGTATTATATGTATGAAAAAATGGCAATGGCATCTCATCTCTACATCAACTTCCCACCCCGATTACCACAGGCTTCAAATGCTAGCCCACGCTGATACCGTGACAGGCTATCATATTTTCTAAAATTATGGCAAGGGTGAACAGGAATGGCAGCTGATATTCGTAACTGTTAATTCTCAAGGTCCAACTTGCATAGCAAAATCAGATAAACACTACATATTAAATATCTATCCTGGGAACATTAAAATAACCTTAGCGGAAGGATTATCGACCTAATACTAGTAATTCCGCTCCCGTTACGCTCACAGCTCTTCAATATAGAACGTACTTGTATTTTCAGATCTTCCTATCACGGCACTATTAACCACAGATTAACTTCCTAGATACCACCAACTATATTAAAGTAACTGCAACATTTATAATAAAGCTCTATATTCCTCTAGTTATATCATCAAAAGTTGGGCCTTTACGGTAGTTACTTAAAGTAAGAAACACTTACCCAACGTCTACAACCTAGCTCTTATTTACACTTTTCATCAATGCTAATTGCCCCCTGTGCTCTGTCCTTATAACTATACCAGCCACACTTTCTCTTCCTGTCTCATCGAGAGTAACCATAGAACACTAGAAAGCTAAAGCTTTGGATTCCTTTGACGATGCATTTGATAGTACCCACTGGTTATACCACAATTCTATAGCTTATAGACTACGTATATCACGTATTCCAGGCCTTCCACTGGAGGATAACTCCAAAGCAATAACCATACATACATTGAATATAAGGTCTAAGCCTATATGTACGTGTTATACTGTTGATTAATCCAGGCTGTCCTATGAGTTGACTCATTCTATTATCAGTGGACAACCAAAGGGGCCAAAATATACCACTACAAGTTCCTAAGGTAAGGCCTTATCCTATAGGTAACTTATGATCTTACGGAACCGTTAAGTTTAAAAAGAATTTAAGGCTATTCCATTTCATTTAATCTCATCCAGTCCTTTGTAATCCAGACACTTATGCATCATCCACTCCCCCTCCCCTACTCATACCTCGCCGCCTCCCTCGAGCTCTGAACCACGCTCTCCGGGGGCTCGTACCCCTCAGCCGAAATGCTACCCGGCACGCTCTCAGGCGTGTAGTAGTTCGACCCCTTGACGTGGTCCTTGCGCGGGTTATACTTGGTACCCTCGATATTCGCCTGCACGGCCTCCTTGCCCCGGGCGAACGCGTCGCTCCGCCCGGATCCACCGCTCGACTCCGTCACGTCCGACGACCCGACTTCCCGGCGCTGGCTACCGGCTGCGTTGAACTCGTTGTTACCGCCGAAGTCCCGCGCCTCCCGCGCGAGTTTATCTTCGGGGCCGCCGACGCCTTCGAAGTGCTCCCCGCGGGTTTGTCTGTGAGATGGTTAGTTACTACGTCTAGGAAACCCGGGGAGAAGAGGGCAGGGGGGAGGGATTCTTACCGACCGCGAGAATCTACATCTCCGCCTTCCTCGGGCGGAATTCGCTTGTTGTAGCTAGCGTTGGTGGATAAGTCCGTGTCGTAGCGCACGTCGGCGCCGGGGAACTTCTTCTCTACTCTCGTGTCCACGCCGGCCTCGTCGTTACGAGAGGTCCTGTTAGCACCGGTCTTGGCCTCGTAGCTGTTTAGGTCACGCTCGGCCTGGTCAGCAATGTTGCGTAGAGTCTCTGATGAGGGTGCCATTTTGTGTATACGTGTGATGGTTATAAGTTACGTGATAGGTACAAGTTGCAAAGTAGAACTGAAATGAAGGTGTTTTGAAACGTTGAATTTTGATAATGAATATAGAACTCAATTTTTACAGACATACTCTCCATATCTTCCGTTTATTATTCAATCCACACATATTATTGACGTCAGTGACGTCATAGAAGCGATGGCGATGCTGGGTGCATCATGAAATCATAAGCCCCAAATTTCCAGGGACCTGTCATGTCTGTATGTATTTCCGTGAAGAGAAATGCAGCTGAAGGATCTAATGATTCCGAGTTTGGAATACATATGCAGATTAAATCACTTGATAATCAATCACATGTAGGTGCTTGTGTGATATGACACCTCTGCCTGTAGGTGATATCATCCCGGGCCATCTTCTCCGGCGGCTCTGCTCGCGCCTTTCCTAAACCGTATGTGATATTTTATCATAGCTGAAGATCAGGAGCTCTTCGAAATTACTTTCGATTTCTTCTAGAAATTGCTAGTTATTGTATCTTATCAATTCCTAGGTTACCTACGTGTTATGATATCTATATCTAAAGCCATATTTATCCCACACCGCCACATGCTTAATCTGGCATCATGCAGCTCTGGTGTAAGGTAGTTTCTATTTCTATCGATATCGTAAAGCCAGACATTTGAAAGACGAAGCTATATCTTGGTAGTACTCTCCAAAGTGAAGTACAAGGGTGGTAATTCGAGATCTATTTCGTTGATTCTTCAAATTATACTTGATGTCTCCTATTGACTAATTACACTTAACAAAGCCTATAGATAGGTACTCAGGTTTAACGGACAGCTAAGGTATGTATTTCTTAGTGATCAGCTATATGATATTCTATGTCAGGTTAAAATGGCTTATCGTGGGTTAATATATTGGCTTTTCTAATCTCGTTTACATTTTGTAATAATAGTAGAAATCTCATTGTTAAATCATAATAATCTACCAATAGTCTCACTTCTTAATATTTAGTACCTATATGTACCTACCTAACCTACTTACCCTATATGTTGGGTACTCAATCCAAACTTATGCCAGTGATGGATACTCGGGTTTACGTCCTCTCATTCTAACAGCCCTAGATGGCGTACGTAGGTTTTGGATATTATTCGGTACCGGAGCCACGTTACTTCTACTAATATATTCTAAGTTTTTCTGGCTGGCTTGGAGTTGTCTGCTTCATCCAGCTGGGCTCGAATTGTAAGGTAGAAAAATGACTCGTCCTTTATGATTTATGATACATTTGGGACCCCTCCATATACATTTCGATACGAAGATCCGTGTATCAAAACGGCCCTGGGGTTTGGGACGCCAGGGGGCTTGATTGTTTAATGTCAAAGCGGTGATACTTTCAGGGGACTTTGAAAGGCATTGTTTCTAAGTTCACTGGCATGGCTGAAAATTCCCGAATGCTGTCTCTGGTAGGTATTGAATTAGGTATAATTTATGCATTGTAATTTACATGTATACACAACGACAAATATTCTCAAAAACTAATTAACTACCCAGAGAATGATTGTGATATAGTATAGCTCTGGTATTCTCCTGTATTGCAGAAATCGGCCCATTCCCTAAGAGAAAGCCTTGTGATACATACAAGTAGAAACACTGCCGTCTTCGGCTTTCTTAGCTATTGGATATCCATTGATTAAAACACAGAAGCCAGCCTGGCCCAGTAGGACGAATAGCATCCCTAGAACTATCTTCTCCTCCGAGTTTTCTCCAGGCTTACGAGGCCAGACGGTATTCGTGTACAACGCAGCGATCAACATTGACATGGTACTTGATCTTAGAATTCGGATCGCTTAATCACGAAGCAAAACAGTTTCTTTACGTCCTTAGAAATGTATTAATATATGGTTCGCCTCCCTTTGCTTTGCGTGCTCCAGGTCCAACCACGTTTTATAGGTCGCGCGGAACACCGGATCAGTCCGCGCCCTACGAAAACTCGTGATTTATTCCAGGTCTTCTGTTACCCGGGGCGGCGAGTTGGGGGCGCAGCTTTTCCCTTACATGGAGACATAACGGCTCCCGTGGGTTACTGTATTGCTGCGGCGTAGCAGCCCGGTAGCGCGGTTTCGAGCCGTCGCCCCGAGTGGTTGCTACAACGCTGTATCCGGAGAAGAGATCTCAGACATCATTAAAAAGTCTTGGCCAAGTTATTATTGCTAGGTATTACAGACTCTGCAAGTACACATTTAGGAAGACGATATTGGCTCCATGATTATAAGTTTACTACTCCCCTAAGCTGTAGTTGAGAAAAGCTTATAAATATGGTAGATCACAACCATAGGCCGAGAACCCCGAGCTGCCTTAAGAGGTTCGTAATGCATATTAGCAGGATTTAAGGAATTGTTACTTCGCAGGTAACAAACCAGGTCCTAACACGATATCTGCACCACATTTTAATTCCGTCGGAAAGCGTAAGCAACGAAAATATTTTCTCAAACTCTTGGTTCTCGTGGCCCAGTCGAAGCCTACAAGCTGTCAGCTTATCTGCATAAAGCTACGCAGTTTGTTGTTGTTGTTTCAGACGGATAATTGGATAGGAGCGTGGTCCTGGGCAGAGTCTTTGAAGGTACACCGTTGTCAGGTATGTCTGATGGCGGCTATAGACTGTAAGTGTGGCTGCGTGGACCGGCTGCTACTTTCAGTGAAAAAGGCGAAATACCACGGTGCTATGCACTCAAGAGGTGATGTATCAACAAACAGCGTCCATAGAAGTATGCTGGCCTCTCGCATGCGCGATAGCCCGGTAATGTTTCAATACATAGTATGCAAGAATGAGTCCACCAGAGTGGAGTTTACAAAGTGGCTTGGAAGCGATCGGATATTTACAGCAAAGGGTGCTGAAGATGATAGGTCTAATAGGTCTATCAACAATTCCCGGCCTTAGGAACCGCTTGTTCACCTGCACATGACCACACACATCTGCCTGTTGGGAAGAACAACCCGATATGATACTGAAGCTGAAGATCTATCCGTTTCTAGTAGTAGTAGTAGCGTTCGATTGTATAATTGTAATAGCAGATTGGCTGTAATGTATGTAGGCTGACTTGGATAGCTCCCCCCACAGTTACAAATACAGAGGCGTATCTTCGTGGACTTTACCCGGTCTCATTGATAATACCTACTGAAAGCCTGGTCGTAGCCAAGGTGGCTAAGACTAATAGGGGGTAGGGGGTAGGGGGTGCATTAATATATTTCCTGCATGGTACCACGAGGAGGAATGCATAGGTTTGCTCCTCCACACTGAGATTTAATAGTGTATATTATTATTATTTCGTCTTTTAATAAGCTTCAAGTTTACGTATTTTTATGACAGGTAGTTACCTAAGCTTAAAATGTTGAAAATATACGTTTAAATTCTCTTGGATTTACTAATGCTTAACTCTTACGCATTTATCTTGACTACCTACCTAGGTATTTATATGTCTTTTTAACATAGGGAGCATTTATTTAGTTTCTAAGTTTCCGTTGGCGAGAGTATACCCTTCACCGTTAGGTACCTAAACCACGAAGACAAGGAGATAGTCTACTTGTAAATATCAACTACCTAAAGTTCGTACGTTCTAATGAGAAACAATGAGCTAATCCTATAGCCTACCTATTTTACCCAGAGCAATTGGTGGTAATTTCACATTATGCGTAAAAACAGCGCGTATTGAGTAATACACGGCTTGTGAGGATCAATCTTCGAATCTTAAACCAATAATGAAGCGGATAAAAATCGAAGAGAGCTTTCCGGGTTGTGGATCATGATCAGAAAACCGCGTCCGTGCTATTTTTTCGTGCGAGACGGACGAAGATTGTCAGCATGGAAGCTAGGTATTAAGACAGCGGTGTCGTTCGTGGCTTGTATGGCTGCAAGTCAAGACATGGTATCGTCCATACCATACCCCAGTGATCGACATAAGAGTTTAGCTTCTAAGCAGCACGTAAGCCGGCTCTTAGGACCCATATCGTATGATAGCGGCTAAGAAGTGATCCGTCACTTCGATCCCAACCCTTCAGGAACCTCAATGTTGCTCTGTACTACAGTTGATCCTAGTCACCTCGTCTGAACATTGCATATACCTAGGTAGGTAGGCATTCAGACCGAATGATTAGCGACGACTTAATGACGGACATAGATCTGAAGGTCAGTAACATGCTACTCCGGGGTGGCATGATATGATGCTCCCTAGGGCAGTCATCCCTAAAGCATGCAGGAGGCGGCTAAGCAAATTCTCCATTTGCGGCAAATGAGATTAAAAAGTGTAAGAGTTTAAAGACGGGAACAAAGCTCATTGGGCCCAAGATTTCCTAGGGTTGGAACGAACCTCAAACCTGTCGTGAGGGGTGGTATTGAAGGCTTCCATCGACTTTGCAATTTCATAAATGAACGTCGCCTTTTGTCCCTTGGGTTGGTTCGCTAGATTGACACGAAGGAGTGTGCGGGGGGCACTTTGTTAATCCTAAACTCTATCGTAATTAATTGTCAGATCTACGGCAGGGATCCATCACGCTGTTTTAGCCGGAATTGGTTGGTTCTGTTCGCTTAGTATCTCGTCCAGGTACTTGGGCGTCTTGGCCACGGCTCTGTGGGTCGAAGACGGTAAGAAGAACAATAGGCACCAAGGGAGAAAATTTAATCGCCATAAATGATCTATAGATGATCTGTAGCCAATCATATATTTGATTCATCGTCAATATTGTTCCTGAGATACCCGAGTTGGAGATTAGTGGGTTTGTATTTCTTCTATAGGTGTGTTTATAGGTGTGTCTATAGAAAGACATATGATAAGAGGGTGAGAGTTTATGCCTAGATCCAAGGACTTAGCCAAATATAATAAACACCAGAACGCATAAAACTGTGTGTTCCTGATGGAATAATACCCCCCTCGGAAATAGGTGAGTCATTTCGAAGAGTGAGGCTGATGAAACTACGAAAACTTGATGTAGAGTTGTCAAGGTTCAAAATAAG